ACTCTGGAAGGCAGCTATGCTCACCACTATACCACCAATGCAACCTTAATCTGAGTAACTGGCTTTTTTACTATCACGGCCTGGCCTCCCTCCTTTAAAATAAGAATCACTGTTACCCAATCATAGAACCAGGGTGAACCAGTACTCTTTGAACTTGCCCCAAATCACCTGAAAACCCCAAATCCTATATGAAGTCATTTCAATACCTTCCTGTTAGAACACCGCACAGTTTCCCAGGTGTGTGTCCTCCCTTATTGCAATGAATAGATAAATCCACCTTTGTTCAGCTAAGGTATTTGGCTGCAGGGCACGTATAGATTTAACAAATTCTGAAGCAAGTAGTTTTAAAAGGTAGTTTTTTTTTTTATTTTTAACATGAAAAGGTATGCATTTACTTACAGGTTCGACTTGTTGTGGGATATATCCAAATTGAGTATAGAATGGCATCTGTCAGATTTTTGAAAAAATGCATTAGAATCTGATGTTTTTGTCATCAACCAACTGAGCCACACTGGCCAGGACTAAAATATATGTACATTTATATTATACTAAATGCTTTTTTGAACGTTCATATGTTCTAGGTGGCAAAAAATGTTAATTTACTAAACATCCTTTCAACAGCATATGATTTCTAAGTTAAAGCTTTTCCTTCCTCTAATTCAGCATGACAATTAGAATTACTACTATCAGTCACTTACAGCATAATTTTCAGTTTTCTCTAATTTGGTTTGGCAAGTTTTAGAGTGGTGTAAAATATTATTTTCCCCCGTTCTAATGAAAAGATATCTAGTTATTATGAGCCACCTGAATTTATATTAGAATTCTAAAAATGTATTGCAGGTTCACAAAACTTAGTGTGATGTTATCTAAGTGTATTGCAAGATCTGGTGAACAAAGTAGCTTTTATTATGGTAGCTATTTTCATTTTTTAATTTTATTTTTTGTTCATCCTCACCCAAGGATAATTTTTTCCATTGATTTTTAGGGAGAATGAAAAGGAGGGAGGAAGGAGGAGAGAATGAGG